TGAATGAGTCACTGAATCATTGACTCACTCAATTTGTTCAAATGGCCGATTCATTCAGAAACAATTCAAGTGACTCTTTGTGAATGAGTCACTGAATCATTGACTCACTCGATTTGTTCAAAACTGTGGATTCATTCAGTAGCGAATCACCGCTGTGTGTTGACTTTGATCGGAACGGTTTTCATTTGCGAAATTGAGCAAAAACTGACAATACTGTGTCTAAAATGTAACACAATATTAACTTGTTTACTGAACTATTAAATCAAAATCACATTAGTAATGGTGCAGATGTTGGGGAAAAGCAGCACTCTTGCTGGTGTGATATTGCTAAACTATACCATATGATATAAATATAAGAGGGTGATTTATTTTTTTTGCTCATATCTTGAATTCTAGGCTCATTGAACTGCATTCTAATCGACTTCAGTGTAAGATGACGGACAGATCTAGACGGGGTGCAACGTTAATGCATTAATCACTTTAACACAGTATTTTTTTCTGTAATTAATCACACCAAATTAATAATAATAGATGAATGTCACACTCGCCTCTATATAATGAACCGGTCTGTGGAGTGCTGTAGCTTTAAGACCTTTAACGCGTGTGAGACAGAGCATGTTAATAACTGCTGTAAACGGCCTCGTCTCCAGCTCTTCAGAACAGAATCAAGTCAGGTTTTTGTGTTTGTGTGTGTTTGCAGAGCCCAGCTCTCATTACGTCATCTCTCTGAAGGCCTTCAATAACGCGGGTGAAGGAGTTCCTCTGTACGAGAGCGCCGTCACCAGATCCATGTCAGGTGGGTCGCCGGAGCATCTCACGTCTGTTTAGATCATTTCAGAGCTTTCAAATTATGAAATGAACATATGGAATATTACAAGATGGAAACTGAATCAGTGTGGTTGGTGACACATGAATCATTGAATCGTGAGACTGAGTTTTAAATGCAACTGAACAGTTTGAACTGATTCAGTGATTCAAATGAATGGCAGCTGTACATTTGAATCATTTCAGACTCTCTAGAGAGTTACAGACTCACCAGCCGTGAGACGCTGCTTCATTTTCTATCGTGCACAGAGACAGTCTCTGTTTTTAAAGCTTGTTGACGTGGAGAAACGCAGCGTCTTTCGTCATCATTGTGCTTCTGGTCTGAAAGCATCTGCAGCTACAGCCTTAACAGAAACCAAACTAAATCAAACATTTCTCTCGACTTTGACCGTTATGGCTATTTTTCTGAAGTGCATTCTGGGATTGTCTTCTCTGCAAGAATCAGGGTTATTAACATTAACTAAAACTATATATATATATATATA